TATTAATAATTGATTTAATATTTATTTAGTAATATCTTTCGTAAGTGACCATGGTATAAGCGGGATAATGCCCTTCGAGGTGTCCATTATCAGAAATTAATGGACTTCGCGTCGGACGGTTCACGCCTCCGCGTCGTCCATTAATTTCTGATAATGGACACCTCGTCGGGCATTATCCCTTACTTAAGAGCTAGCCAAAAAACGTTACAAGGCTGACAAACGTTGGCTCCGCTGTTTCTTACGTTGCTCTACGCTGACTTTACTAGTTCCAGCTTCGTGTCACCACCTTTTTTTAAAAAGTATTTTTAAAGCAAATCTCTAAGGCCTCTATTTTCTTCCTCTCTTTTTCTCTTCTTTTTCCTTTTCTGAGCACCAAACTTCTGCTGAGCGGACATTTTGGTGCTGAAGTGCAAAATCCGAACTTCCAATAAAAGGACATCAGATGTTGATCAGGGGTCAAACCATTTTATGTTGGAGGTGGGGGTGGAGGGCAACTCCAAAGATATTAAGGACAGTTCAGATGAAAACAAATTCAAACTTCTAACTCAAATATTGCCCTGTTTCTTTCCATTAATAGCCCTTCTTTGGGGAAAAAAATCCAGAATTCAATGAGGGTCCAGTTCTGGGCCCCCCCGCCACTCTGTGCCCGGGACAACAGACCCGTTTGTCCCCCCCTATCAGCGGGCGTGCATACATACATACATACATACATACATACATACATACATACATACATACATACATACATACATACATATTATTACCTCAAAAATATGATAATTTAGGTGTGTATTAGGTGTGTTTAGGTGTGTCCTTACCCTTAATGTAAAAGGAAATGAGGATTGAAGATGTTGACAATAATTTATATATTTGAGTACAGTGTTTCCTCTACATTCATTTAGGAGTGGCGGGCCGCCATTCCTAAATCCTAGCCACCGCTCCTTCAAATGTCTTTTTTTTTTTTTTTTAATTATTATTGTTGCAAATACATCACCGCGCATGTCTCCACCTTCACAGCAGAGTCCTGCACTGGGTCGGGTACTCGGAACTACAACGGTAAACTACAGATAACTGTCTTGCTCAGTATCTACTCTCTGGAGGTTAATACAACCGTTAATTGCTCGCAAGAGCATGGCCTTGAAAGCAATGCTGTTTATTCTGCTGACAGAAAAGACTGCATGAGAAAAAAACTCGCTTTCATCTTGGACAAATCTGACATTAGAACGCCCTAGTTTACTCTTTTTAAAGTTACCTTTGGTCGCACACCGGTCTGAGCACCGCAGCCCGCTATGTGTGGCGCTCAGGGAACATCGTATATTGTAGAGTCTATCAAAAAGAAAATGTTCAGCCGGTCATATGTTTTGCCTGTGACAAGGTGGGCAGTGTGAACAAATGAGAAAGTTGGTTGCACTGATTTAAAAAAAAAAAAAAATGTAGTCTGGAGTCTTGTGTGGACTTCCGTGCAATGACATATCGCGTGGCTCTAACTTGGCTTCTGGCCAGTGGAAAAGCAAGGAGGTTCCAGATTTTAACCAATTAAGCACTGGAACTAGCACCAGCACGGAACTAGCACCTGATTCTTGTTGGTGGAAAAGGGGTCGAGAATAGGTTGTAAAAAATAAATGTCATTTGTTTACGCCGCCACAGCTCCCTGGAGAACCTGCCCCCTGCTGAAAGAAATCCTAGAGGAAACACTGCATTAATGCTTAAGCTTTAGGTCATGACATTCTCCAGGAAGATTTTCTGAAAGAGAGCAGAATTCATGGCTCCATCAAGTATGACAAGTCATCTCGGTCCTGTGATAACAAAGCAGCCCTAAACTATCACACTACCACCACGTTTCTCTGTTGGTATGATGTTCTTCTAGTGCAGGGGTCGGCAACCCGCAGCTCCGGAGCCACATGCGGCTCTTTCAAACCTATGCTGAAGCTCCTTGTGGGTTTGGATAATAAATAATGAGAATTTCATTTACATTTATTTTATTTTAGTTTGTTAGTTTTTAAAGTCTACTTCTTATAACATGAAAATAAAACATGGTTTTTGGTTTTTTTTTGTTTTGTTTTTTTTTAAATATGCATCAAAACCTCCGACGTGCGACACCCACCACCACGCGAATTGTTACATACTTTGTGACGTTCTCCTTAAATCTGGCGACTTTCCAAATCCTCTTGATGACTTTCTTTTTTGTAAAAATGCAACAAATCTAACAACTCTTTCTGGTGTTATTGGAGACTTTTCTGCATCATTCTGCAGTTACTGTCCTCAGCGAGCAGCGGTGCTGCCGTGAGCTCCTCCCTGTCTCAAAGCACTCACCGGCGGTCAGGAGTCTCGTCAGCAGTCCCAGCTGCAGTCAGCAGGACAACCAGATGGCATTTTTACTTTGCTGCAGGTGGATGATTTAAGTTTGGCGTTTTATTTCATATATACGAGAAAGACTCAAATAGACATTGCGTATTCTATTTAAAAGTAACCTTCAAACCAGCGTCTTTATTCTTTCTGAGTTCAAAATGTTTTTGTTGCATGCAGAAAGAAAATTTTGTTTTCTTTTTGGCCGTTCATTGATTTCATAAATGCAACACACTATAGTTTTTTATACATAGCATAAAGGTAAAACAACAACAACAACAACAAACAAACAAACAAAAAAATGATATTTGCAGTGTTGCCTTCATTTTAGATGTCAAAAGGGTTTTGTGGCTCCCGGTGTTTTCTTTTCTATGGGAAATGGGTCCAAATGGCTCTTTGAGTGTTTAAGGTTGGTGACCCCTGTTCTAGTGGAATGTAGTATTAGCTTTATGCCAGATGTAATGAGACCCATGTCTTCCAAAAATTTCTACCGTTGACTCATCAGGCCACAGGATGTTATCCAGAAATCTTAGGGCTCATCTAGATAATTTCTTTTACAAATACCAGACTAACCATTATGTTCTTTTTGGTCAGAAGTTGTTTATTCCACTTTTGAGGAGACCCCGGGGGAAGACCCAGAACCCGCAGGAGGAATTATATTTCTCAGCTGGCCTGGGAATGCCTCGGGACCCCCCAGGAAGAGCTGGAAAGCATTGCTGGGGGGAGGGATGTCTGGAATGACCTGCTCCGCCTGCTGCCTCCGCGACCCGACTCCGAGTAAGCTGAAGAAAATGGATGGATGGATGGATTATTCCTTGTAGCTCTCCCATCAATGCCATTTTTGCCCAGTGTCTTCCTTATTGTGGAATCATGTAGATAGTCCCAGAGCTTTAGCAGTGACGTTCTAACCCTTTCCAGACTGACAGATGTCAATGACTTTATTTTTCATCCCTTCTTGAATCTCTTTAGGACATAGCACCATGTGCTGCTTTGAAAGCCTTTAGCTACTTCACATTATGCCAGACAGGTTGCATTTAAGTGATGTTTAGATTCAACAAGCCTGGGAGTGATCATATGTGGGTGTGGCTGGTGAAACTGAACACAATTGCCAAATGAATTTGGTCATTTGGAAGAGTGGTAGCTAAGGGGGCAATTGCTTTTTTACATAGAGCACGTAGGGCTGGACAGGATTGTTCCATCAATAAATGAAATCATCATTTAAAAACTGCATTTTGTGTTTGCTTGGTTCATCTTTGTCTTGCAGTAAAATGTGTTTGGTGATCTGAAACATTTAAGTGTGGGAAATATGAAAAAATAGAAGATATCTGGGGGCAATACTTTTTCACAGCACTGTAAGTCATCATAGTGATCTAGCCTTGTTCAAAGAGAGCCACCTTCATGGAATTAAAAACTGTAAGTTTAAACCTAACATACCTCACTAACACATTAATCTCATACACACCTCTGAAATAATGATCTGAATTTCAATGTGCTTATTTCACCATGTCATGGGGTTAGATATTATAAACTGTATTTGTCCATTTGGTAATTTGATTGGTAGTTTCATAATATCTTTTTCTAAAGATGGACGGCTGTGACTCAGATGGTACAGTGGGTTGAGGTCCCGCTGCATGCTGTGCACTTAGTCAAGACACTGAACCCGAACTTGCTCCCAATGGCAGGCAAGCATCTCACATGGTAGCTCTGTTGGCACTGGTATGTGAATGGATGAATGAGAAACATTGTAAAGGACTTTCAGTACCACTAAAGTAGAAAAGCACTATACAACAGATAATTAACCATCTAGTTATGAACACATCTCAGCTTCATATCAGGTGGGCACAAACACCACATCAAATGTGAATGGTGGATGTGTAAAATAGGAACTGTTGAAGTTTACCAGGTTGTGGTCATAACCTTACTTTATTAAGCGCTGTGTGATAATGTATCATAAACTGCCCTATATAAGTAAAATAGAATTGAACTGAATTGTTCTGCTGCTGCAATGGTCAAATAAAGTGGGCTTTAAAAAATATTAACAGTTCAGAGATGTGACAGTTCACTTAAAGATACCAAACATGTTTTTTAAGGTATCTTTCAATTATTTTATTTCTAAATACTTTTTTATTTTTTTCTATCACATCACGAAGTTACAATAATATGGGGGTCATTTTTTAAAAACCAATCACATTTTCATACATTTGTCGAGCAATGTAATTGCAGTCAGAATATATAAATTAAAGGTAACACATTCATTAAAAAAGGAAAATCCAGCTTTTGCCACAGTAAAACGACATTTTCATTAGGTTTACACAGACCCACTGCTTCTTATATGCTTAAAGCATCTTCACTCACATTTTCCAAATCTGTTTTCTTCTAATATCAAATCATTTTCCCCAACCTTGAATAATGGCACAGTAAAGGTAATTACAGTCGGTTTGAATTCAAACATCCAAAAACAGATGTTTAAACATATCGTTACTAGGAGTCCCCAAACAGAGGACTGTAAACTAGTTGCTGCTGCAGATTAGTGGATGAAAAGGAAAAAGACAAAGCAGATATTCAGAGACAATGGCTATAATAAACATCAATCATTTATGTAAGTCATTCATTTCTAGATTATTACATTGCTCTTTAGATATGTCAGTAAAAAGGCCTCAGCCTTTAAACATTCATGACCACAAGCCCTTCAACTCCAGACTGAACAAAGATTAAGAAAAGTCAATACAGATCAAAGCAAATAGCAGTCCCAGACTTTGTCCTAGCAATCTGGATGACTGCTAATCCTGACAGATGTAAAAATGTGTCCAGACCCCATAATATTTGACCTGTGACAGCATGTGTATGATTTAAATAAATCCTGGAAAGAGGTACTGTAGAAGAAGGATGACTCCCACCACCATGAGTCCACAGAAGAACACCACCAGCCAGATCGGGAAGTATCCTGGAGAAAATACAAAACAAAGAGACAACAGATAGTGAGAGTCTGAGGTAATGAAATATGTTCTCAGTGTGTTCACTGAATGGTGATGTAGGACTAACTTCGGTTGGCGAGAGTATGCACTTGACAACGGCTGTCCACAGCTACACTCAACATGGCTGTTTCGTTATTCCCCTTGATGTTTTTGTACTTCAGAGAGTCAGGTAGGAAGGCAAGATCTGTCACAACAATGCCATGGGACTCCTGTACATAGTACAACTTCTACACACAAACAATAAAATCAAATTGTTAGCTTACAACAAGGTTACTTAGTTGATTTATATGTGCTAGTTTGAATGTGGGTTACCTGCAGAGAGAAAGCAATGTAGATTGATACTGATCCTGTCACAGTGCCAAGGCCAAGAAATGTTCCAGAGTCACTGTCAAAAAAAAGAAAATTTTATGCTGAAAAAATGAAAAAGTTGTTAAAAACCATTAAACTTTCTAAAATCCACTTCACAGAAGTGCTTTTAGAGAACATGTATGTGACGGGCCTACCCATACTGATAGAACAAAAATGAATACAAACTGTCTTCAACTGCTCTTCCCTCAGCCAGCTCGCCAACTGTTCACTTTTCATACTAAATCATCAATTTCTTTAATACAGTGGTAAGAAAAAGTTTGGGCACTCCTGACAATTTCCATTATTTCCATTTATAAATCAATGGGTGTTTGAATCAGCAACTTCATTTTGATCTATCAAAAAACTGACAGACAGTAATATTTCAGTACTAAAACATCTCCAGTTCAATGAAGTTTGATGGTTGCCGAGCATGGACAGCCTGCTTCAAATCATCCCCCAGATATTCAATGATATTCAGGTCTGGGGACTGGGATGGCCATCCCAGAACATTGTTCTTGCTCTTTTGCATGAATGGCAGAGTAGATTTTGAGCAGTGTTTTGGGTCATTATCTTGTTGAAATATCCAGCCCCGACTTCACTTCAACTTTGCGACTGATTGTTGAACATTATTCTCAAGAATCTGCTGATATTAAGTGGTATCTATGCGACCCTCAGCTTTAACAAGATTCCCAGTACCAGGACTGGCCACACAGCCCCACAGCATGATGGATCCGCCACCGACTTTTACTGTGGGTAGCAAGTGTTTTTCTTGGAATGCTGTGTTCTTTCACCGCCATGCATAATGCCCCTTGTTATGACCAAATAACTCAATCTTTATTTCATCAGTGCACAGCACCTTATTCCAAAATGAAGCTGGCTTGTCCAAATGTGCTTTTGCTTACCTCAAGCAACTCCGTTTGTGGCGTGTGCGCAGGAAAGGCTTCTTCCACATCACCCTCCCATACAGCCTCTCCTTGTGCAAAGTACACTGAATTGATTCTTTGGTGGTGGTCTGTGGATTGTCTTTGACCCTTCTAACCGTCCTTCGCCTTTGCCTCGCCGATATTTTTCTTGGCCTGCCACACTTCTGGTCTTAACAAGAATTGTGTTTGTGGTCTTCCATTTCCTCACTATGTTCCTCACGGTGGAAACAGTCAGCTGAAATCTCTGAGAGCTTTTTGTAGCCTTCTCCTAAACCACAATGTGCACAACATGCAATCGGCCACCTTAAATACCTTTTCTCATCATTGGATGCACCTGTCTATGAAGTTCAAGGCTTGATGAGCTCATGAGCAAGCCAATTTTGTGTTCCAATTAACCAGTGCTAAGTTGTTACAGGTATTTAAATCAACAAAATGACAAGGGTCCCCAAATTTTTGCACCTGTCTAATTTTGTCTTGATGCATATTGCACTTCTTTTTGTCCAATAAACCTAGTTTCACTACTGAAGTATTATTGTGTCCATCATTTTTTGGACAGATCAAAATAAAGTTGCTGATCCAAACAACCAATGATTTATTAATGGAAATAATGGAAATCGTCAGGGGTGCCCAAATCTTTTCATACCACTGTATACCCATCTGGTGCTTGTAATGCTCATTTTAGCAGTAAACAGAGGAGAGGAATTATTTTCATCCTTAAAAGGTTAACCTCAAATGTATGATTATTGTTTTGCTCACTTGTGCATGTAAGCTACTTCTAGCTACATAACAGCATATAAAAGCAATGTTTTCAACACCTCACTCGGCTCTCATTGGATGGTCAAAGCTGGAAGACTACCAAACTAGTTATATCAACAAAAAAGTGGCTATGATGATGAGGAGCTTAAATAAGAAGAGGATTCCACTTTCTAGAGCAGGGGTGTCAAAATCATTTTCATTCCGGGCCACATAAGCATTATGTTTGCCCTCAAAGGGCCAGTTGTAATTGTATGTGACTGTATAAATGTAACGACTCCTTAACATATTGGTAAATAATTGTCTCTGCATTTGATTATTATTTATTCCATGTACAAATATTGTGCATGCCTAACCTAAAAGTAAAATGTATGTAGCAGGGCTCCAGAATAACTTTCCAAAGGTAGCAACTTGCTTCGTTGGTTGCACTAGCTAATGATTTGGTCCCCCACCCCATATTTTGTAGGTTCAGCATTGCCACAGCCATTAATGCACCATGCAGCTGATGAATAGTTGTTTTTGCATACCTTAGTTATGTTGCAATGATTTTCAGTGATACAAGACTTGATATTTGTAAAATGTTTAAACCTTAAAATATATTTATTTTGTCACCAGTCCTCTTCTGATATCACTCATTAACTGGACACAGGACACAATTGCTGAACGTGTGTATGAGATGATGGTACATTTTACCGATGTTCTCTAAGCGCCTCACATGCTTCTCTGGTAGATGCAACATTTTACCGATGCTCCCCAAACGCCTCGTATGCTACCAGGTGTCTGCAGCGCAGCATCTCTGACAGGTGAGCGACCAAACATTTGTTGGAAAACAGTGGAAAGCGTGTTCTACACAAATTAGGCCAAGTTGAAAAGTTTTCTATTAGCAGAGTTTTTTATGAACTGACTTTTGTACAAGCTGAGTGCATTTTAAATGTCCAGACCACTGGCCATCATGTTTATAGAGTCAGAACTGTGATCGCTGTTAAAATTTAAATCTTACAGATTGAATGTGGGGCTACTTTTTCTTCCAAACTGACTCAGTCGAGATCTGTCTGCCTGCACCTGAACATATCCTCTCCCTCTCTCACCATTGTGTGTGTGTGTGTGTGTGTTTTGTGTTTGTTTTTTTTTAAACATAATTGGCATTATAGCGTTTTATCACTGGAACACGGTGACAGCTAAACTGAGTGTGTTACCCATCAGGCAGAGAGAGACTGAGTCAATGTAGAAGAAATATGACTATCTTCAACCACAATAACTGGTGCAGCAGCGACCTGTGCCGACGGAAGGAACCAGATCAGCCTGATGATCATCATTCACTTGCGCAGTGCAACCACGTGAAACTTGAACTCGTGACGTGAACTCAAAAGTGGTCACATATGAGAACATTTTGGTCGCAGTCTGGAGCCCTGTGTAGACACATTGCTGTGTTATTATAACAGAAATTATAACATTATAATACGTTATATTATATCAGGTAAATCCTATTAATTTATCAAATTAGGAAACATCCATCTCTCGTGGGCCACATAAAATGATGCGGGCCAGAGTTTGATGCCTATGTTCTCGAAAGCAACTGCTGATGCAGATCAGTTTGAACCAGGGTATTGATGAGGGGAACAGTGCTGGGAGCAGTGACAGGACAAGAATTGTGGCTTTCAACTCAGTGTACATTGGTCTCTACTCAAACAGTAAAACTATTATCAGTGGCGGATCAAGTACTTGGGGCAGTCAGGTGGTGTGAGCAAGACTGAGTCAAAATAAACTGTGTTCATATGTATGGTAATGAAGGAGCCTGGTACCAAGTGCTCACTAATGTGTTTCATTAGTTTCTGGACAACAGCCATAATTAGGGTCTTCGCACCCTCTTTGGGTGCTCAGACCCTATTGGAACTGCTCGGGTTTATTATTATTATTCGTTACAAACAAACGCGTTTTTGAGGTACTCAACGTACTCACACAGTCACCAAACTCGCCACACACATCAGACCTGGCGAAAAAGTTTATAATTAGGGGGAAATACTCCCCTCAATAGCAAAATGGCTCAACAGCGCCACCTACACAATTACAAAAAATGGGCCCCCGAACACACTTTCACATACAGCCGCGAAATTCGGCACACACATGTAACTCGAGACGCACAAAAAAGCCTCAAGAACACATATCCGAAACTCAACAGGAAGTCGGCCACTTTGAAAAAAATGGTGGCTTGCCGCTGGAAATCGGCCATTTATGGCCGATTTCAAAATTTAGCTCATCCTAGGGGGTAAGTCGTACACATTTGGAATTTGGCCAGCACAAACTACACGATGTGGTGATTAAAAGTTATCAAAATGCTCCGCAAAAGTCTGACGGTTTAGAAATGGCGGCCCGTGCAATATTGATCAATGGCCATTTTGTCCATTTTTGGGTGTTTTTGGCATTTGACGGGGTGCCGTCGGAAGGCCGTTTCATCTACACCTACAAGATTCGCTGGGGATGGGTAGCAGCTCGGGACGCGCAAAAAAATCAACAGCACCAAGCCCTAAACCCAACAGGAAGTCCGTCATTTTGAAAAAAACGGTCAGAATGTTGCGATTTTCGCTTATTTTTGCCATTTTCAAAATCTATCTCCTCCTAGGGGGTAAGTCGCACACACCTGAAATTTGGCCAGCACAAACTACACAACGTGGTAGAAAACGGTCCGCAAAAGTCTGACGGTTTAGAAACGGCCGCCCAGGCAATTTGCAGCAATGGCCATATTGTCCATTTTTTTGGTGTTTTCAGCATTCAAAGGAGTGCCGTTGGAAGGCCATTTCACCTACACCTACAAGATTCGCTGGGGATGGGTAGCAGCTCGGGACGCGCAAAAAAATCAACAGCACCAAGCCCTAAACCCAACAGGAAGTCCATCATTTTGAAAAAAACGGTCAGAATGTTGCGATTTTTGCTCATTTTTGCCCCTTTTTTGCCATTTTGAAAATCTATCTCCTCCTAGGGGGTAAGTCGCACACACCTGAAATTTGGCCAGCACAAACGACACGACGTGGTAGAAAACGCTCCACAAAAGTCTGACAGTTTAGAAACGGCCGCCCAGGCAATTTGCATCAATGGCCATATTGTCCATTTTTTTGGTGTTTTCAGCATTCAAAGGAGTGCCGTCCAAGGTCATTTCACCTACACCTACAAGATTCGCTGGTCATGTGTAGCAGGTTGGGACGCACAAAAAAGTAAATTGGCGCCAAGCACCAACTGTCTCAGTCACGCTCCTGTGAGAAGTGAGGACCTGACCAATGCCGCTTGTGGCTTTAATTAACACTTGTTAATCTGATTGGTTGTCCGCATCAGTTATCTCGACTGTTCACACAAATTGGGCTGATCTCGTCATTCAAAATAGTTAGCTGTGGCTGGCTGATTTATTTTTCGGGTACTACTTGTGGCTTTTTAGGCTTGTTTGAAATAGAAGGAAGAGGTGGAGGTGAACATTCAAAAGAGGTGGAGGTGAACATTTAACTTGTGAGACAGATATTTTTTCTGTAGAATGTATTCACTACATTTTTTTGTTGTTGCTGATTTTCTTTAAATACTAATAGGCAAAAACATGAAGTTTATTTTTTAAATTAAACCAAGTTACACTGCAAATGCACTAAGAATGGTATTTCTCATTGGTCTAACGTGGCTCAGTGCGGCCTAAACAGCCAGTTATCAGCAACATTACTTTTTTCAAATCAAAATGCTCTTTCTGTGCATGTGGTAAGAACTTGCTATCTGGGATGGTGCCACATGGCACATCATGAAACAGTAACTGAACCACTTGTATCATAAAGCCAGTGTATACACCAAACATTTAGAGCAGCGTTTAACACATTTACTAAGAAATTCTAATGCAGACTTTGATCTAGAGATTTTATGAATTGGTTACCTAACAGCGAGACTGGAGATCACCTCAGTGCCACAGGAAGCTGTCAGCATGGGCAGCAAGCTCTTGCCATCCCACTTGGTGAGGTAACAAGGAGGAGGTTTTCGGTCTCTTTTATGGGGAATCTGCACTGTATAAAGCCTCAGGGCATCTTTTTGGTCTTCCACTCTACCAAACCTGAAATAAATGGAAATACAACCATAAACATTCACCGCCACAACATTCCAGTGGATGTAGCGAGGTGAATAGCAACAATGTGCTTTCATAGAGAAAGAAACTATGTTTTATTTTGCTTTTGTTACCTGCAAGCCATATATCGATAAGTTTTCTCAGCTAGTTGAGGCATGGTTTCATGCCAGTTTAGACCCATTGCCAGCTGGTTGCCACTCCATACACTGCACGCAAAATCTCGGCCAACAGTCACCAGGTGCTGCATAAGAACACAACACAACACACTGACATTACTAGTAAACCAGCATATCCGTCATCTACAATAAACATCCACACCAACAGGTTACAATGGTTCACCTTGTTCCCTGGACTCATATCCAAGTCTTCAATCTCCCCTTCATGTGCTTTGAAGTCAAATTTCTTCTTCAGGGAAGGAAACTGTAAAAGAACATGTTACTATATTAATTGTATGTTTAAGTAAACAGCTGCATTAAAAAATGTTGATCAAGATATGTCATCCATGCATTTTTGTAATTTCTCCCCATTATTTCCTTTCATAATAATATTCTGTTCACCCATTTTATGCTGGACCTCTGGAATGACGCAAAAGCTGTAGCTGCAGCACAGTTTAACAAACCTTAACAAATACCTCTGAACCAGTGCAAAATATATTGAAGATTTTTAAAAAAGTTTGAGGGTTAACCTCCATTTCAAAATGTATGGATAAAAACCTTGTTTATTCTGGTTTAGCCTGAGGGATTATGTGGTCACTTTGTGTAGTTTATTCAAAACTGTGTCTAACTGAGTCATCATATCCATCCTAAGCAAAATGGTATTTATTTAACATAACAGATGGCCAAATTTATGAAACAAGGTCCAAAATTAAAAGACATTTTTTCCATTTTTAAAAACACTTTGTCTTTTCAGAATCCGCTACCCTCTCAAGTCCAAAAATGATCAAGTAATGGAAAATCACGCAACAGTAAGAAAGTGGAAAAGGTTTCTATGACCCACAAGAAAGACCAAAAGTACGCAATTTAACAGCATAATATTAGTATCCTAAATTACTTCTAGTGTACATTTATTATCAAAAAGGATTCATGGTAATATATCATAAACTGACTAAAGCATATATCACCTCTTTTTTTTTTAGCACTTCTTACGATTTTTGGTGTGACAAAGGTTTGTTTACTAATGATGAAAAACTACAGGGCAGAGATACTAGCTTTTTATCACGTTAACATCCTGCCTACTGAGTTGAAAAGCATTGTATTGATTCACAAATTAATCTAATTCTTGTAGATACATATTGAAGAGCCTGGCAATACTACTAAAACATGGTTAGTATGGCGATACTCTTAATGTATTATTTACCTCCCAAACGCGAATGTGTCCATCAGTAGCTCCTGTAAGCAGAAGTTTTAGGTCAGGACTGAATCTGACCACTTTCTGGAGTGGGTCCCGAGGGTTCAGGTCGGACTGCACTTCAGCCAAACCAGTCACTAAGATATGAGCTGTCTCATCCTTCATATCTGACATGTCTCCAGATGCTGCAGCTCCATCCTGTCCAACTTTGTCTCCTTTCCCTGCTCGTCGCCTGGCACTACCCTGCTGTGCACTGTTGTCTGCTGCAAAGAGAGCACTCATTTTTTATTAGATCACAAAAACTTGGAAATGGGGGAGGCATAGATATTGTCTGTTTACCATTGATTTAGAAAGAATTTAGACCTTCAGTTTGTGCACACTTTGAGTTATACATCTAGATTTATATGCATCAAATTGATATATTTTCCAACCAGTTCATGCTCAATAACACATAATGACAAAGAGGAAATGTGAATGGCAACCTTCAAGTATTCATACTTATATTTTATAGGGTTTGGGTCTGGGCATTGGCTGGGCCACTTAGCTGCTGAAAAGCATGATGCTGCCACCGCTATGCTTCACCATAAGCACGGTGTTATTCAACTGATGAGCAGTGCTTGTTGTTTGCCAGATATTGCAGTTCTGCCCAAAGAGTTAAGGTTTTGTCTCATCAAATCTGAGAATGTTTTTCTTCCAGCTCTTAGTTTTCTTCAAGTTCTGCTGTTTGGTAAACTCCAAGCAGGCAATCTTATAATTTTTTACTCAACAGTGGCTTCTGCCTAACGTCTCCGCTATAAATTCCTAATTGATGGGAGTGCAGCAGAGATGCAGTGTGAATAACAGGATCTTACAATTACAAATGTGAGTCCTTCTAAACTCCAATGTACCACCAGTTAGATAAGACCCATGTGGTGCAGGTGCCAATATCGAAAACACAATTTTATCATTGCATGTCCTATTTTAGTCCATTTATACAGCATTAATAATGTCTGAAGTCACTGAAGAAGAAAAGTATAAGTTAGTCTGACGTGTCAAAGATTGCAGTCCCGTATAGCCAGGGGCTTAAATTGTAAAGCAATATTTTTTTTCCCCCAGCCAGCTTTGGGCTTCACTCCATCAGAGCAGTCTCACTTTTAACAATTGTAATGTACCAATATTAGGAACAACGTGTCACAAAATGATGCTGAAAAACTAGTCTGTATAGTTTTGCAAAGTCTTCACATTACGATCTGAAGTGTCTTGAGATGGCATGTTATCAACGATCAGCTAGTGCTAATGCACAAACATCTTCTATGGCTAATACAACTATTGCAAGTATTTACAAACAAATATTTTTTTAAAAATGCAATATGTATAGCATATTTAGCAGGTACATTTCAGACTGTAGCAGTAAGGCTCACCATCTTTATGAATAATTTTGCCTCCTCTCTGTGTGCAGTGTTTAAACTTCATCAAACAGCAGGTCCCGTCCTGTCCTGCAGCAATCACACCATTACCTACAGCCATGTTCATAGTAGCACGTGTGTCAGTATCATGAGCGTGAAGGAGACTGGCGCTGTACTGGTGTTCTCCAACCAGCTGCAGATCCAGGAAATGCTGAAACACACAGTTGTACGTCTGCTACTACTGCAACTGGTTTACACTGTCACAATGCCAGTAGTCCAGATATCCATTCATCTACTCAAACTAAACGGGCTAAGTAACTTTAAATAGTACTTTTGCAAAATACATACATGACTGTGCAAAAGTTTTAGGCACTTTAGATGTTTAGATTCTTATCCATCACATATTACTGTCAAATTCATTCAGCAGCATGATGAGCCCTAGCATCCAGACAGACTCATAAAGAACTATCTTCAGGGACAAGGAGTCCTAGAACAGATGGTCTGACTGCACAGAGCCCTGGTCACATTAACATAATGGAGTCAGTTTGGGATTACATGAACAGACAAGACACTGAGACAGACTAAATCCACAAGGATCGCAGCAGGTTCTCCTGACTACCAAGCACTTTACCATTATGCATACAAGTGTATCTAAGAGAATCTAAATCATTGATTTAATTTTTGTTAACTATTATTATTTTATTTAACTTTGTATTATTTAAATAACTGTTCATAGTATCCTAACTTTAAGTGCCTTCAACTTTTGACAGTATTTGAAGTAATCACGCATAGCTATGAGTGAAGAATTTGACACCATTCACAGCTTATAGACAAAATGGTGCAAATCAAAGAACAGAAGAGAAAGATCAGAAAACACAAATCAGCCAAATATGGAATGTGCTATCAAATTTGTGAAGCTTCAGTTTTGTAAGATATATGTATGTGCATGTGTTGAAGAGCTTTCAGGGCCACTGTGGTATTCTATTAAAGGAAGAAGTTAATCATTAAAAAAGCTTCATTTTCATACTTACCACAGCGTTCTTTATGCCTGTCTTGGAGGCCCCCCCTCCGCCTGCTGTGATCACTAGTCCTGTATTAGGATCCACTTTAATGGAGTATAAAGGAAAAGGGGCTCTATACAGATCTGGCATCCTCCTCTTCCCCATTGTTCTTCATAAAACTGCAGTTCTCGACCACACCTGTGGAAAACCAGGTGCAAATTTATCTGTCACATTCTATATCCCCCATCCGCTAGGGATGAAGTGAGGTTGCTGTACCCCTTCAACAGCTGTGTGAGACATGTTGTTTAGAGGGCATGTGAACAAGCTTAAAAACAAGGCGATTCCACAAAAGGAGGATTCAGACAAGGAGCACTTACCAGTGGCATGTTTACGACCAAATACTGTCACAATTAAATACCATAAGCATTTTGTGAATGAGGACTAAGGTAATGAATGTTCAAAATAGTCCAAAAAAAATGTTAGTGGAGGCAGGATTTGTATCTCTTGGAATCTGAGAAGCAGATTATTAATTAGAAATTAACAACAAATTAAAACTTTAAAAAAATATATATATTAGTTAAGAAATTTTTGAGCAAAATGTGAACCATTCTCTTGTTCCAGCTTCCCCACAGTGAGGATCTGCTGCCTTCTCTGTTTCAAACTAAACTCAAAATGGAATATTTTAGACAGTTGGTCTTCAAAAGATGTATGCATAGAACACATTGGTTCTGACCAACAGTCATGGCCATAAATTCACTATTTTCTCACGTTTCAGCAAACTAATTAACATGAGTACAATCAAGTTTTACCTCAGAAGTGCTCATTTTCTTAAGAATTTTATAATTGTTAATTGGTGACATTTTTCATCAACATAAAAAATGGACACACTCAACTGTAATTGTGGCAAAACTTTCACCATCCTAGTAAATTCCTTTTGCACACATTGCAGTTTACAACTGCTTTTGTACCCAGCTACGTCTTTCTATTCTTGATTTAGAGATTTATAAGTTTTCAGTTACGGTTTCTGCAGATCACTTCAAGTTGTGAGATATTTAGATTTGTTTAATAATAATATGTTTCTAGAGATTTTAAGGTCAGGGGCCTGAGTCGGCCACTTCAAAAACTTCAGTTTGGGTTTTTTTTTTTTTTTTTTTTAAGTAGTTGATGGTGGCCTTTAAGTATATTTTTGATCATTGTCCTGCACAGGTATGTTTATTCTGATTACAGAATAAATGTTGCATAGTTGAGGCTAAGTTTGTTTAAGGAAGAGATGACAGAGTCATGTGGAGCCTGTTACTTGATTTAAATTATTAAGATTGATCTAGACTTTCTGATGTGCTTTGGCTTTAACAGCGGCTTCAATTTAACCGCAAATAAAAGTTTCATGGTGACGACTGAGTTGGTCTCAGATGACTGTCAGTGTCAAGAACGCAGCACATTGTCCACTCTTGTCTTCGTTTCTGTCGCAGTACTTGTGTGCAACATTGCTTAAATTTCCTCGGCTCGTCGTGGGGCTATGCAGCTTACGGAATAGGCCACCATCATAATGTTGAGAAAATGGCGACAGTTGTGAATAACAAAACCTTCGGGTTTTGTTTTGTTTTTTATTTTTTACAGGAACGTGAGAGAAAGCCAATGTTATCATAGCCACGTTGTAGCTAATATGTCAATATCGTCTCGCTGTAATGGCTGCAGTTAGCACTCCAGTCTTCTTGAAATCTACCTTATCAGTGATTTAATTTGAGGTCCCCTACCTCTGCAGTTATTCCGGTTTATCTTGCGTTGCTATTTCACTCTATTGTTAAATACTGCATTTGACGGTTTCATATGTAACTGTCAAAAGGCATAGGATGAGGAGGAACTAAGCGACAGCAGCTAAGTATATGCTAAAAGGAAGCTGAACAGGCACTTCCCGATCTACACGTCAGCATCATAAAGGAACGTACACTGCGTAATGACGTCATCGAACAGCAGTCACGTCGGCTCGTTCGAAGCAGCGTCTTTGAAAGACAAGGCTCGTCTCATTTCACTAACTTCCGGAGGACAGACGCTCGAGGATCGCGGAGGCTGTCCAGAAGAGCTCTGTGCAAGGATGCACAGGTGTATCCTCGCTGTGTCCTCGATTAAATATTCTGTGCAGCAGTGCCATTAAAGAGGCGTATATATATATATACTCAGATAATGTTGGTTTTGCTGCTATTTTGTTCATTGTAATACAGCTGTTTCTTTTAATTATGCTATTTATTCTATTATTTCTGTTTTATGTTATTTTATATTTATTTGTGTTTAAATAAACATTGAAAATCTCAATAACTGTCCTTTTTTATTTCTATGCTTAAGTTTTTAAAGATATTTCTATCTGCTTTGTGTAGCAGAGTGATTCTACAAGCAAGTCAGTGTGTTCATTGGGTGGTTTCAGAGTTACAAGGGTCTGTAAAAGCAATGAAAACAAGTGGCTACAGCAATTTACTGATATTAGAAAATGTAATTTTTACTTGTGAATACTTTAGTACCAAGGATGTATTGAAATATTTAAGAGGTATGCCAAACAACGCTAAATTTGGCTGGATTAGAAAATGCATGGGTGGTGAATTGAAGAGCCGTTTGGGAGCCGAAAGAGCCGGCTCTTCTTGGTGAGCTGAGCTGAATGCTCACTCAAAAGAGCCGTAATTCCCATCACTACACCGAACAGTTACTGATAAGTGTTCTTATACAGTTAATGAATATCTATTTATGTCTAGCTTTCAGAAAACAGACCATCGAAAGCAGAGATCCAAAATGGCATTTGCCCCCACACAGAGCCACAGAAGTGAGTGATAGTTGCTGCAGGAGCCACAAATGTTTTTGAGTATTGATCACTGGATTAATAGTTTTGTTTTATTTAGTTCTCATGGTGATGTATTGTCAGACAACTGTGTGAAATTCATCTAATAGGAGTGCTAATTACTTCCTTTTTTTTCCCCCTATCTAGCCGCAGTCTGGCTAATTGGTGACAGCTACGTCCGACGTGGAGCAGAGAGGGCTGCGGAGACCATGGGAAGCAACCTCGGTGTTGATGGGATCCTCATCCACTGGTTTGGTTGGGGTGGTCTGAGGTGGAGAGGCCTCCTTCCTTTTTTCAAGCAGTGTCTACAAGGAAGAGCAGTACCTGATGTTCTCCTCATCCATTGTGGTGGCAGCGGCCTGGGCAACATTTCAAGTGTCAAACTTGTCCAAACAATGAAAGAAGACCTGCACCACCTCCACCTACAGTTTCCAGGACTGAAAATCCTCTTTTCTGGCATCACCCAGAGATGTAGGTGGAAGGCTGGCACCAGTACGCCCAAAACAGACAAAGCACACAAATTTGTGAACAGTGTTATGGCTACATATGTTCATTCTTTAAATGGTGGATTCATTCATCACCCTGTCATAAGGCTTGACACTCCAGGGCTATTTTTGCATGATGGAGTTCATTTGACCACTCGGGGGAAATGATTTATTTTATTTATTTTATTTTATTTTTTTAACAATTTTTTGGAGTCTATTAAGGCCCAGCTTCAGCAACATTAAGCAAGTTGAGTCTTAATGGTTTATTGGTAGCCACAGACATAGCCAAAAGTGTCATGCCTTATGTAATGAGTGTTTTTTTTATATATATATATTTTATTTCATAACACTGTTCACTCATACCAGCCATGTGTTTCCCACCCCTGTCCTCTCCAATTGTGACAAATTGTAAATAGTTTAGAATTCATGGTTTTACAGTTATTTATACTTGTTGTTATCAGTTATGTAGCTCTACTACCTCTTTTTATAAATCAAACTGTTCTGTTAAATGTTTACATTATTTTTTGTTTGTTTGTTTTTTTAAGCATTTGTAGTTAATTTTTTTGGAAAATGGAACTTTCAATGTGCAGATGTGTTGATGGTTTTTAATGGTTCATAGTGTGTATAAATATTAACAACAGCAACATGTACAGTTCTGTAATGACACAAGACCACATTGCTGACTTTGCCAGGATTTGTAAATTAATTACAAGGCTATGTGGATGATGAGTTTAGTCAATGGAAGCAAAGAAACACAAAGCACATTTAAATACAACTACCATATCTGTAGTTTAGAATAAAAGTAATGTGCAAGTGTTGTACTACAATAAAATTTCAAGAATCTTTCAGACAAAACAAAAGGACATGCAATACCATTTGCTAAACCTAGCTGACCTAACAGACACAGTAAAGAGTCCGTATGCCTAATACATATTTTTAAGAAGCAGTAAACATCTGTTCCAGGAAATGGAAATGCTCAATTAATCACCTGCTAAACAACAGCTGTAATGAAGTAAAAGGGAAGACATAGAACCTCTGAATGCTAAGAACAGAGATGAAAAAACTTTTGAAAGAGCTGATCTGTCGTTCCATCAGAGGAAGCTGAACTGGAAATGGTCGACTCAGGATGTTGTCCATGCAGTGTTCTTATTCACAATCAGATGAATGGCACCGGATAAGGTCTTCCTTCTGCTGGCACCACTCATTCATTTCCAGTTTGGAGAACTCAGAACTTTGGAATTACAGCAAAAGACAAACACTTTGGTTAAGATGTAACAATCAGGGTAAGGAGCAGGGCAAGAAAAGGCGGCAAAGAGTGGAAAGAAGAGATTGAAAATAATCAAATGGATTCATTCTGCTTAACAATGTGTGGTGTATTTTGTTATTTCAGGCATTCCTTTAAAAGGTGAGTATCGTCAAACACCTAAGACTTTAAAGCCAAAAAAAGATAATAAAGAGGAAAAAAAGTGATTTTCTTAAAAAAAAAAAAAGTCATTATTCTTCATGTTCACCAAATTATGGCACTAAGAACTAAACAAAAAACTAAATAAAAAGGGTGACATCATGATCATGCTCTGTGTGCTCTAACAAGTAACTGATGATTTGAATAAAACTGGCTATCCACACATGCAGCTTAATTTTTACTAGTTACACCCTGTTAGGTTTTGTATATCAGCTACTCTCACCATTAAATATTAGTGAATGTAGAAAATCCACCATTGAATTACTGCATAAAAATGTATATGTCTACCATCATGTCTTTGAAGAACTGATCCTCCTCAAAGTGCATACTGCATAGCCGTGACGTTTTTGATGGGGTCCACTTCTGTCTCCTCATATTCACCAGCCACTGCTTCAGCCTGTTATCATCACCTAAAGGAAATCTGTTGGAAGAAAAGACTTTACTGCTGTGCATTCAGACTTAACTTTCAAGAATGATGTGTACAACAGCAGTGTTGTTGATTTTAGCAATAATTTGATGTTAAGCCAAGTGGGGTAAATAGAACTCTTTTTTTTTAAGTAATGAAAAGTAACAAGAGTCACATCTGTAAAGGTGAGAAAAGGTACATTATTAAACAGGATCAACACTTGTATCTGTAATGTAAAGTAGAAATAACGACCTTGGCACCCAGAAATTTCACATTCACAGCATAGGAAAAATCATGCAGCAAAGCAATCACTCCTCCAGATTATAGTATATTCAACTTTTAATGTAGGTAACGTGTTGCAATATGTTATCCCTACACACAGTCGCCATAGGTTTACACTGCACCGTTACATGAAAAAGGAATTTCCATCCATCATCTATGTGTAGTGGGAGCATCTGTCTGGAAAGTTTGGTATTTCCAGATGGCCCTTGAACACACCATCAGATGTAGGTCAGCTCCTCCCATTGCCCAGCCCCTGATTGAGGGTATTTAAAGCACCTGTGGCATCATGGCTGCCCTTTTGTGTCTGTTTGAGTGCCACATGGGCTGCTGGTGACTCTGAGGTAGGTGCGTTGTGTGGATTGTGGACAGGGTTTTGACTGTTTTCAAGCTGTAATTCATTTTCATGATGGCGACATTCATTTGTTTGACAGTCTTCCCTGCATACTGGTATCTGTTGGTTGAGGTTTATGCCAAGCTCGCCTGCCTTGGCTTAATGTGGACGTTGCTGATTTCCCTAGTATCCATTTAACAAAGACCGTTACATCAAGGTATGAATAGTCTACTCAGCAGTTAAGAAGGGTGACTGTTAAAAGGTAATTGTTATAGCCATGTTATAATCATGTTATAAACCTGTTATTAACATGTAATGTCTTTTGTTGTGTTGTAGGGTGTTATCAGCTGCTGTTTTGCCTTAGTTTGCTCTTGTTTGCCTCTGTTTTGTCCTCGCCTGTCTTAGTTTGGCTATGTTAGCCCAGTGGTCGCATTTTAGATTGAACAAACTGGTTTTATGACAATTCCCATAGGCTGGTGGACAAGGTTGCTGGCTGGTGGTGGAGGTTGGACATTGTGTGGTTTTCTTTCACAGCTTGTAGTGGTAAGAGCACTGGGGCACCTTATCTTACACCGGTGTGATAGTCCTGACTGATTGCTGTGCGCTCACGAGTAGTTGGTGATTTGTTTCACCTCTGGACATTTAAGTAAGTGACCACCCCTCTCCCCCGCTGGCTTCCATCCACTTTGCTCTCTCTCCAGGTACATTTTATTCTGGAAGTGTCTTTTTTTTTTTTAATAGTTTTATTGTTAAACAGAATTACATTACTTAAATATCTTTGTACATTTCAATGGTCTGATCTGTTTTTGTACTGGCTTTTAGGTTGCTTCTCCCGCAGGCACTCCAGAAATCTAGTACTAATCAACCATTCCACCAAATAATCAATAAACTGCAATTTCTTTGGATTTGAACCACGTCTCTGTCTTCTCTTAGCAAACGAACTTGTGTGACCTTTGTGACCTGTGTGACTAATTGTGGTAGTTTACATTTAACTTGTAGTTCCTGGGGTGAGAGTCCCCAGTCGGGTTCTCTAGATACCGGTACAGCTCACGTATTACTCTCTCCTACGCCCCACTCCCCCCTTGGTCTAACCCCGCCACATTCGCATAAAGGGT